TCACACCAACAGTACTAAATGAGGAGTGACAAATCCTTAAAGCTGGCAAAGAATAAAAAGATCCCTATTATTTATAAAACATGTAAGCTACAAATTTATAATTCAAAATTCCTTTACTAGGTGCCATGTACCAGCACCTCACTCTTTTTTTTCCCCCTTTTTTATTTTTCTTTTCTTTTCTTTTTTTTTTTTTTTTGTGTGTTTGCATTTTGGGAATTCTCTTCTTTGCAGCAAGTACTTACAAACCAGCTGTTCTTGCAATATGTGTTTGAAAACAGAAGACATTAATTTCAAAAGTCACATATAAAAGTTTGAGGAATGTTGTGACAGTCTTTCAAAAACAAGCATTTACAAATTAGTTCCACTGATATCAAAAGATTCACTTCAGTGAGCAAGGGCTTAGCAGTGTAAATGAAGGTCTCATAATTTGGCAGTTAATAATAATGCAGTTTCTAGACAGCATAATTTTATTATTTTAGGACACAGTCACGGTTTACAATTTGCTTCTCATCATTTGTATGCACCTGATGCATAGTGCTTGCTGAATTCACTATCATGTTTTTAACATCATATTGATTTCCATATTAACAAAGCACAATGTCATAAAATGTCAGATTAGCACTTATATTCAGGAATGAGCAGCAGGCAACTCCAAATTAGAATTTTCTCGCATAAAACACACAACTGCCCGCTACATTTAGGAAACACTTTAGCTAAATTTTTTCTTGATTTTACAGCTAAACCAGAAAAATTTTCTTGATTTTACAGCTAAACCAGAAAAAAAAATGCCTCTCAGCTTCAGCACCAGTAGGTAAACTTACCAAAGAATGTTTTTTGTTTTGGATATACAAAACCAGTGAATTTGGCAGCAATTTATCATGTTCTCAGGACACTAATCAGCCCTTTCCTTCTTTCAGTGATCTACCTGATCTCTGGACACCCAGTATGCTTACTTATTCAGAAATTATTGATCATCATAGGAAAGTTACGTCATGAGGTCATGTCACACCCATTAAAATGTAAGCACTTAAAATCTGCCAGTGCGCTGTAACATACTCCTGTGTTACTGCAGAATCAGAGCAGAGGACAACTGCCTAGAAAACAGTGGTTAATATTAAGAACAAAAATAAAAGGAAATGGTCAAGAATTTAATTTAGTTAAATCTTGTATTACAAACTTAACACAATTAGAAAAAAAGAAGTATATTTGAGCCACTGGGATGTAACATTGTTTTAAAGTAAGTGTGAAACATTCCTCATAGGAACAATATTTGTCCTGAAGCTTCTAAATGAATGATCCATGCAAATATGTTAGAGCAATATGACTGAAAGAGTATTCCTTTTTCAAAAGATACAATCAAGTAGTGAGGAGGCCAGAATAATGTATTAATATATGTTTTGGACTCATTTGTATACAGCTGCTTTCAATGGGAGTTACCTTAGAGATGCAATGGGGCTTGGTGCAGTTGTGTTCTGCTGGACACATTGGTACAAGACCAAAATGAAACAATATAATCTTCAATTAGTAGGTCACTGAAGAGTAAGAGTTCATTATATGTATCTACAGGTTATTATTTCCACATTTTAAATTTCCATTCAGTTTGAGGAGACTGAAGAGTGCTCTGCTGTTCTTATGACCAAAACATTGGCTTATTATGAGAAAAATATCACTATTACCCAAGATAAGATGACCTTTGTGATGCATGGTTGCAATATTAATCCTTCTGACACTCTGAGCAAAAGGTAATTGTTTTTAGGGGCTTCCTACATTTAAGCTAACAAAGGCTGCAAGTGTCATATGAGAAGTCTGTAGTAAACAGTTTTATGTCTTAAACAGTTAAATTTAATGTCATAACTAGATAACTTCTGGAATTTCCTGCCCACAAAATACGACACATTGTGTTATGTGTATCTTCAGTGACTGTTGTGGTCTCAAGATACAGCAGGGTTCGTAACACAGAAATACTAACAAGGAGACCCATGAAGTCACCAAAAGTCACTCTGAGCTGCCATGAATGAGAAAAACAGAACATTTAACACGCAATCATGACACTTTCAAGCAGGGATAGATTTCAGGAAACAGCACCAAACTCTAGAAATTGTAGCACTGGTAGCTAAGGGATGGATAAATTCTTCTTAATAAAACAAAAACAATGCTATTTAGAGAGTAGAAAAACAGTAGACAAACTCTACATGAACTAGATTATGTTTTGTTTGGCCAGACTTAGGACAGAGGTCACTTGGCTTGTTCATCCTAGAGAAGAGGAGACAGAGGTGAGACCTCATTGCCATCTGCGACTTCCTCGAGAGGGGAAGAGGAGTGGCAGGCACTGATCTCTGCTCTGTGGTGACAGTGACAGGAGCCAAGGGAATGGCCAAGAGCTGTGCCAGGGGAGGTTTTGGTTGGACGTCAGGAAAAGGTTCTTCACTTAGAGGGTGGCTGGGCACTGAACAGGCTCCTCAGGGCAGTGGTCACAGCACCAGCCTTACAGAGCTCAAGAAGCACTTGGACAATGCCCTCAGGCACAGGGTGTGATTCCTGTGCAGGGCCAGGAGTTGGACTCAATGATCCTTGTAGGTGCCTTCCAACTCAGGGTAATCTGTGATTTTATGATCCATTAAAAAAGTGTATGGCCCAGTATTTTTTTAAACTTTGTGGTACATTCTAATTTCAACATGCACCTTTTTAACTACAGATTCAGATAATTCAACATAAGTAAAAATTATTCCATGGTGGCTGTACAGTAACAAAGAAAGCAGAAACCTATCCCAAAAGCAAGGATTGCAAGTTTCTAATTTAAGTAAGAGTTGAGACTTAATCGAAACCCCCACCAATTTCAAGAACAGCTCTGTAAGGGTGTAAGTGATGTCTCTGAATAAAAAAAGAGAAGTGCACTCAGTTGAGTAAGAGAACCTAATCACTGAAGAAATTCAGAAATGTACAGTGAGTTTAAAAAAGGTAGAAATGTTGCTGTTCTCAGTACTGAATCTTAAGATTCAGTCTCTGAATTGACCTTACAGACAGCTGCACAATTTCATTTGTGAGTCCAAAGCCTCCTTAGTGGGTCTCAGCTGGAATTGAAACACTGAATTGCCATGCCAGTGTACAAGAAGTCAGAAAAAAAAACTGGCAGAGAACCAGCTACCACTACTTTCCTTTTCCCTCCTTCCACAAGTGACAACACCCTCGGAGAAAAGTAATTTTAACTCATTCTAGCAAATTCTGTAAAGCTATATCCTTGTGTCCATTTTGACTTCACACAGGTTTTACTTCAAGAAAAATGCAGGCTTATTTTTGATTTTCACCCATTAATCTGGTAATTCTGATTTAAATGCTAATTTCAATTTGCTAAGTTGTGTCTTCATCCAATTTTACTGACTGTCTCAAAAGTTGCACCAAAAAATAATTACATTCTACCACATCCTTTCCCGTCTTTTAAGGTAAATGATAAAATAAATGTCTCCCTTTACACACATATAATAAAAAAATATTTCCAAACACATATGTAGGATTATTTCAGCATCTCTGAAACTTCAGACACATATTTTTATTTAGCGATTGCTAAAGTAGTTAAACAAACCAATCATCAGTGTTTATCTATTGTGCATTTCCCTGCTTGAAAACTTTTTAAATGATTACAAACTTTGCAAGAACTAGCCAGACCCTGCTGCTTTAGCTTCTGTTATCATCTAAAATCACATGGAAAACACCGAAAAAACAGTTTATCTAATTTTATTTTTCTCTGAATTCTTTTTTACTTATGAATATTCACATTGCACATGTTTTTGACAGTTTATTGTCAAACACAAATATTGGGGAAGCTGGTTTCTCACCTAAGAAAGAAACACAAATGAAAATTTAAAGTAATTATCCCATGAAGAGACAAAAAAAATCCTTGTCACATCCCAGATAGAGGCAATTGTGGAATTCATCTTCAAACAGAAAAGAATGTTCCTCAGATGTGCAAACTACAGGTGAATTAGGCTACAGGACTACAGGTGAATTAGGCTGCAAATACCAAACATATCATACTGCTTGATCCACTAAATCACCCCAGAAATTTCTGTATTCAAAAGACCCACAATTCATTGTGTCCATGGAAAACAAAGATAACAGTACCACAATGTTACACTCAAAATTCCTATTTCCCCTCTTGATACCTATGCAGCTTCTCAAGCATATGTTCTGCTTAAAGCTAGGATTAAAACTGTGGACATTTACAGAGCACAGATGTTCTGTAGATGAAATAACTACCAATCTGTAACTTCTTATTTTTCACTTTTAATTTATTTTTTTAAATTTTTTCAATTTTAACCATTGTATAACAATGTTATAAAAGAAACTCAGTAGTGTAGATTTAAGAAGTTTCATAATTAGTCTGTAAAAATAATTATTGACATAAGGATTCTATCCAGAAAGGCCTCATGATTGGCATTTACTTACTTCCTTAAAGGCATTTTACCCTTCCTATATGTACTTCTTGGCCAGTAAATGATGGAAACATGTATGTCCTTATTGCCAAAGTATGTTCCATTTACTGGAAAGAGTAATAGGTGGGATAAACACTATAACAGATTCATATTACACAGAAAACTTTCCAGGTCCTTCTCCCCTGCTCTCAAATACTGTTAGCACACACATATATCTGCAAATGTTTAAGAGAGACAGAAAGAAAATTATTCAGTATCATACTACACAACTTTCCCTGATTAATTCTCCCAAATATCTCAGGTATCTCAATATTAGGCAGAAAGACAAAAAAAGCAACTCCCTTCCAGATACAACAAAGAGCACAGAAAAATGCACCAAATCTTCCAACAATACTCCTCCCTGTTTTACTTCTTTTTTATTTCAGCCTATCCTAACAGGTTCTATAAATCAAAGTTTCTACATTATACCAGCATGAAGAATAATCTGAAAGATTATTCTGGTTTGTATTAAGCACCTTGCTTAATATAAAAAAAAAACCTCAATTCCATTTGATCGTTATTGAATTGTACCTCAAAAACTTCTTCATCCAGAATCCTGGTTCCAAACACAGTGATGCCATTGGTGTCCACAACTGTTTTATCACTTCTGTCAAGTGGTTTTGTAGTTTTTTTGTTACAGTCAACAATCATTGTAACACTCTTTTTCTCCACACTGATAGCTACTCGATGCCACCTATTAAAAAAACCCAATATAAGTTGACTGCAATTTATGGTTTTAAAACTAGGTCATTGTGTTCTTATCAAATCAGTTTATAGGAGATGATGCACCAATTAATTCACAGATAAAATTTAAAATGTCTCCTTTTATTTCTTTCTTCTATACATACACAAGTGTACAAAGTGTTTAAACTAGCTGCTGTATAAATTCTGTCCCTCAGCACAAAGGGGTCTGAGCCACAGCTTGTTGAAAACACCCTCTGTAAGGTGAAGCTCAAGCTGATGTTCTCTGCAGCTTTAACCAGGGAACATTACCAAAATCAAATTAGATGTCAGTGCACAGTTTACATTTTAATAGACAGAACAAGCTGACAGCAGATTCTTTTTTAAGAATGTGTTTGATTTTCCAAATTACTTGTGCAAATATAATTAACCCAGCAGGTTATTATTTATTATTTACAATTCTCTATTTTTAATGCGTAATCAACCATCAAAATTTTACCATGTTCTTTTACATATTTGAAGGTATTCCATAGCTACAGAGAAATAAATACAAACAGTTCCAACATAGATACTTTTCCAGACAAATATATTTACAAATACTTGGCACTATTCCTGTAACAATAGCCTTGCCTACATAATATTCACCAAAAAGTGAATGAGGTGATTCAGAGTACTGACAAGTAACTTGACTTTAGAGACATTTAAGAATAAAGTCTTGTATGTTTTGCCCAACTCTACTATGTTCTTTATGAGACTTTATGAATAATCTTGATAGACTACATTAATTTTGTGAGCCTGTGCTATGACAAATGTTTAAGAACAAAAGCAGACCACTCTGTGGAGCAATCCACCATGGAGCAAAAGGCTAAAGAATGTTTGATAGACCAGGGCAAAAAATGTAAAATATGTCATACTAATGACGGGTAAGAGGAAGGCTGGAATCAAATTATTTTAGTTGGCATTTGTGGCATTAGGGTTGCCTAAATCAGAGAGAAAGCTTAGATCATTGTTACAAAGAGTGTCTGTGTATCAAAAGGAACACCTTGAAGCTAATGGAATCTGACTGCTAAACAGTATCACTGAGCCAGAACTATAATTCCATGTTTTCTCTGGAATGCTGTTAAACACTATCATTATAAAAGCAAACTGGCCATGCATCCTCAGGCACATTACACTGTTCACACTTTTTAAATATATCTCAGTTTGAGATGAAGATTGTTGTCCTAGATCCTTCATAAAATAGCTGAGTCAGAAGAAAATTGTTGGCTTATCTTTTGAAAGTGTGTAGAAGCTGAAAGCATAAAATCATAGCTCACTTAGCTCACTGTGCCTAGGATTGACTCCAGTTGATTTAGAAGTTGTATAGTCTCAGTGCAGCAAATTGTACCAAACCAAGTTCGTTTTTATTTCTTCATTTTAGCTAGTTTTATCAACATTTTGGATTAAAGTCTATGTCAAAGCTTTGTTCTTTAGCAAAAGTCCATTTTAAAAAATGCTGCTATTTTTTTTTTTTTTATCACTCCTTCTGCTAGGGAAATGAATCAATCTAGGTTTCATCATATAATTTCATTGTCTGGTAATACTACACCAAGCAGACAATTAATTGTTTTTTTTTCTTCTTTTTTTGCTTTATAAACATATTTCATTATAGTTAAATTTTTGCCTTTCCTCACTGAATTGTTTTCTTTTGCTTTAGTAAGATTTATTTCTGTGTATCTCTGAAGATTGTGGTTGCTCCTCTTGGACTGCAGCACAGCAAATAAAAAGCCTTTGAAAGAATGAATGTCTTTTTACAAGCACTGGAATGACATTCCCAGAAAATGATTGCTTGTCTACAAAGCTAAAAAAACTAAAAACTGCATTACTAATGCAACAGGTATTTGAGCTTAATTCCTTTACTGAGGGTGCAATACAAATCCTTATTCTTTCCTGATTTCCTTATACATAGGATTTCCTTATACATTGGTATCTCAAACTTTTATTTATCTGCTGGTTTGGCTCTGGATAGAAGAAATTCTATTCTGTCTTGTCAACTTGTCTTCACGCTGCCTACCACTTTTAAGTGGACCAGACATTTCTTTTAGTGAGACCATTCCTTGAGACTTTTTGAAAACAGCTTCTTTGTATATAGGTTTAGCTTGGGTTGGATTAACTTCTATGACTCTTTCCTCACCCTTGATTTATAAAAATGGCAGATAAGGCTGTTTGTTTCATTTATAGCTGTATGCACCATTTGGAACTGGAACTGTATTCTGCTGCAAAGCTTCTCTAATTTTGTACTAACCAGTCCAACTAGCTAGAAACTAGGTACTGACATATTTAAATATTAGAAGGAAACTGTTTGTAAATAGATAATCACATATACAATGGTCAGCAATATGTTCTTCATTTTAAAATTTTGCACTTACTTGCCATCAGCGATGTTGACTGTTCTGAAAAGAGGATAGTCTTCTGGGGCAGGTTTTCCATTTTGATCTTCAAACAGGAAGACAGGGGACCTACCAACTTCAACACCTACTTGCTGAATTCCTTGTTCATTGTAGATAGACAGAAGGAAAGACTGAATACCCTTTTTAGGCTTTACTGTCATTAATATTGAAAAATCTTCTGGAAAACTTCCACCTGTAAACAAAGTGATATATACAGCTATAAATTCAGAAAAGATGAAACCACTTTTCCATTTTTTCTATAAGCACATAGGATCCAGCATACAAACCAGGGTTTTCTAATTCTCAAAAATGAGTACATAAAAAATTTTATTAGGAACATTTTCTGTGTCTTTTTTTTTTCTTTCTGATTTCACTTTAATTCCTGTCAAGTAAACCTTAATGGTTCTTAAAAACATAACTTTTATCATACAATCATAGAATGGTTTGGGTTGAAAGGGACCTTAAACTCATCGTGTGCCACCTCCTGCCACGCAGGGGATGCCACACACTAGACCAAGTTGCTCAGAGCCCCATCCAAGCTGGCCTTGAACACTTTCAGGGCTGGAGCATCCACAACTTCTGAGGGCAAACTGTTCCAGTGCCTGACCACTCTCTGAGTAAAGAATTTCTTTGTAACATCCAATACTACTCTCTCCTCTTACACTTTAAAGCTGTTTTCCCTTGTCCTATCACTACCTGCCCATGTAAATAGTCCCTACCCCTGTTTTCTATAAGCCCCTTTAAGTACTGAAAGACTTAAAAGCATTTAAAGGTCACTGAAGGACCCCACCACCCACCCAAAATGGGGTACTCAGAGCCTTCTCTCCTCCAGGCTGAACAAGCCCATCTCTCTCAGCCTGTCTTTGTAGGAGAGGTGCTCTAAATCTACTGTGAATTCCTGTAATAACACAAAGTATGAAAGAACCATGGCAGTTTCCCATTCACTGCTTTTTAAATTCATCTTCTGCTTAGTAACCTTCTAATCTGAAAGTGTGCACTACAATTTCACCCAACACAACAAGCATCTGTACCATAACAAAGAAGACTCTCAGGTACTTCAGTAGCCCTTGATAACAGTTTATTTTAGTTTCTCTCTCACAATATATATTTGAGTCTTTCTGGAATTATATTGTGCATACATTAAAAAAACACATACTAGCTTTCTTTAATGGAAGATTTAAGCAAAATCAAAGATTATTACTTTCACTTATTCCCTGAGGCTTTCTTTTTGAAGTAGAGATGATGTATCAAACACTGTTTCCACATTTACAACTAAAAATAAACACAATTAAAAGTAGATATAGTTTATAAAGGAAGCACTGAAGTGCTGCTCCTGTTGAATCTTGTGGTAAATCTGCATTTCACTCGATGCAAAACTGTATTAGGCTTAATAACAAACAAAATGTAAGACTGAGATTCTCAAACTCAGAATAAGCTCTGGATCCATGTGGCTTCAGCTGTAATTTGGCATACAAGAAAAGGATGAGAATCTAATTATAACATTGGCAATGAATGTAACTGCAGCTCTGTGTGCAGGAGAGTGGATAAAATGTTCTTAGGCATTTTAATATAATATTAGAACAAGCTTTAATAATAATATCTTGTAGTTTTGGAATGAATTAAAGCATGTAAGTATTCATCAATCTCTGATTTTGGAATTTATTCTTCCAATGGAGAAAAGGGAAGATTGTTTCCATGACAGATATTATGGGAAAACTCCAAAGATTCTAGATTCTTCCTTGAAGACAAATTTTTACTTCTTGAATTACAATGTGTAAACAAAATGTGTAGAATTTCTCTTGCTCTTTAAATGACATACTACCCTTGTAAACCAGAACCCCCTGGTCTTACATTTTTATTTTGTCTGCCACAATGATACTTTATGTGCTTTCTACTCCTTTGTAACTTTTTAATGGAAGCTTGTTGAAACATTGTAGTAACATAGACTATATTTATGCGTAGTTTTGACATCTTATTTTGAAGGGATCAAAGCTCAACAGATAGGAAACATTTCATTTACTCTGGCAAGTTACTGGTAAAAGTTTTTCATGACAGGGTAAAGCACATTACAGTAAACTGTATGTTACACCTTCTTATGTCATAGCAAATAGATGAGGAAAAAATAGAAAAGAAAGACGACTGTCAACACAGGCCAAGTGTTAGAGAAGCACTGAGTACCTGCCCTATCTGCACTGTTAATGTGAAAGATATGTTGGAAGTGCTTAAGGCAGATGATAATAATTCAGCTTGTCTGAATACGTGCTCTTCAAACATGTAACATCCTAGGGGGAAAAAGTGAACTGTTTAGGAAAGGTGACTAAAACCAAGTCATGTGTCTCAGCTCAGTAGTTTCTGTAATCGCTGTTATGGCATAATATTCCCAAATGTTTTGTCTTGAATCTACTTTGGGTAATCAGAAGAAAATTTCCTCCAAACACAGCTTTGATTGAAAAAGTCAAAAAAGAAATTACATTTTTACATGAAAACTATATATATTGCATCTAACATATAAAACTATATGCATATATAGTTCTTGGACATATATCTGGAATAGTCTACAAAGCCTTCTTAAATACTTTTAAATTTCTTGTGGAGGGAAAATATCTAGAAAAATATTTTTATATATCTGGGTTATCATTCCTTCATGCTTTTGTAAAAGATAACTAAGAGCATGTACAACAACACTATCACAAATATCTAAACAGTTTTCATATTAAATCATATATTGCCTTCTAGTCAGTGAAATCGGGGTCCGTTATATTCTGGGAAGTTGGTAAATAAAATTAAATTAATTTTTTAAAAGATGGAGGATTTACTGGATATAGTGGCTCCTGATGAGTTACAGGAGTTAGATGAAAGCAAGGATAGGACACATTAAAATGTGTACGGTTTAGCAGAACTGATATCTCACAGCTTGATCTTATCTTGGATATCTTCTATAGTCTTTCCACTGCTACAGAGCACTAAGAAAAAGAGACACAATCACTTGAGGAAGTGTATGAAAAATAATCTAAATATTATATCTTTAGTGAATTTTGCTTTGGTCTTCTTCTGTCAACAACAGTGATGAGTTAAGGGAACATGTAAGTTACTCTTGAACTGTATGTATCATGTTGTTCTGGGAACACATCATTACTACAAAATAAATTATGCTTGACCCTTTTCTGGATCTGAGTGATATCTATACAATTGCTACTCTAAAGAACAGAAAAGAGAAAGTATTTTTCTTTGCCACTTCTAATCTGTATGTATTCTGTATGACTTGTTCTAACTCTCTATCATGTGTCAAAACAGAAAATTTAAATCTTCAAAGATTTGGGGTTTTAGTATTCTTACTACCATTTTCCTCAGCAGTTTGAGTCAAGTGACAAGTGATAGTGAAATAACGGAATAAAAGTCTCTCTGTAACATCCAAAGAATCTTTCACAAAATTTGACTACTTAATTTTCGAGAAACTTGAGAGAAGATGGAATCACAGCTATCCACAACTAGGCTTGTTTAGTCCCCCAAATACCCAGATACTCTTAGGTAATTCTTACCAGATGTTACTTCTGGGAATGATTTTGCGATTGCCAACCAGAACTCATTTCTCCCACTGCAGCATTACTCCAGGAAGCACAGCAGCTCTTAAATGCACTACTGAAACAGGCAGAGACTTGCCAAAGCCACCAAATAAGGTTTCCATCAGATAGCATCATGAAAGAACAGGTAATATGACTTAGCAGTCAATTCCAGCAGCGATAGAATTTGATGGAGAACTTTATAACTGAAGCCAATAAAACCTGAATCTTTTGGTGGATAGAGCTCATTCAGCCATTCATATGCAGGAGAAGTGTTTTGTGCTACTGATGTTGCACTACATGCTATGCTTTAGAGAACATAAAAACATATGCAGCAAGGTAATGTACAAAGTCAACAACTTTCTGCCAATCTTACCTGGGTACAGCTGCTTTGTTGGGGCACTCAGCTGTGCAGTTTTTGAGACCCTGTAAGCAACATCTGATCCTTTTGAATTCCTTCTGTTTGTGCAAAATCCTGCTGTTCTTGTTACTCCTTCTGGAGAATTGTGAAATTCTAATGCTTTTAGCACATCGACTGGCTCAGCTGACAAAGTTAAAAAAAAAAAAAGAAAAACAACAAGAATAATTATTTATCTTGCATCTCTATGGCACCCAGCCTCCAAAAAAGCTTTTAATTTCTTTGCAAAAGTATATGTCTAATCAGAGCAGTAGCTACATCCTATTTTGACTTATTTCACATTACTCCGACACTATAATATTATTTTTAAAGGATTATTCATTTTTAAATATGTAAGAGTTCATCCCATCCAATGTGCTTTTTATGATCATATTTTTAAACTACTTGACTACACACTGAAAATCACCAATTGCAAATGCTGAGGATCTTGCTGGTTGATGCTTCCAATACATGCTTTTAGTGAGTAACTTCTGAGAAATGAAACTGATCTTCAAAGCTTGCACAAAACCTTCAGAAGCATTCATAATCTGCTACCACAAAATAATCTGTTGCTAACATTAAAATATATTCTGATTACACATAACTGCTTTCTCAGACACAAAGGAATAAGGAAGCAACCAAACTAATTTCACATGCAAGTTGGAGAAAGAAAAATGTACCTGCTGTGCCTGCAAGGACTAAATGGGCAGAATTGCAGTCTTTCATTATTTCCAAGTTAAAATACAAATTTATACTTTAGAGACCAAGTACAATAAGATTGCATCTGTGCTCAGTGTCTAACAATCTAAAATTGAAATCCAGAGCTGTTATTGCACTGTTATTGATGCAAATTAAAATAAACAAAAAAGCCTGCATACATATGTAAAGTCAACAAAAAGCCTTAATATATAAAAGTTCTCCATGGCAAAAGGACAAAGTACTGAATGGACAAGCACTTCAAGACAGGCAGTGAGAGAAAACAGTTAGAATACTGCATGTCTTTTCTCCTAGGAAAAATTAAGGTGCTTATTCTCATACTCCCTACAAATCACGGCTTTTTAATGCTTTTTTTTTTTTTTTTTTGAGTGGAAACAGAATTTCAGTAGACTTTTTTTGTCACTTGGACTATTCTGCATTTTTTATTTTGGCAAACTCATAACCACTTAATTTGGGAAGACAAAGTTTTAAATGACATTCAGTGTCACAGCTGAGAAATGAGCTTGGTAAATCTGACTTCACATCTTTGAACTACACAGTGGCATTAACTGTAGCTGATTTATTGTCTGTTATTCATTTTACGTGTCAAGAAATATCAACTTAAGGTTCAAAATTCAATGCCTGCGAATATTCAAGTATTTAAACAAGTATTTCCACAGATGTGAACACAGTTTAACTAGCTCATCCTATTCATCTCCTGACAGTGCCAAATATGAAAAACTCAACTCTGTGGTAAACCAATCTTTGTTTTCTCAGCCAGACTAGAATGCACATAACTTCTTCTTTCTTAAAATATATTTGCAAGAAAATGCTTATGAACTTTAAAAATTTTTCTTCACATCTTGCAATTTTTCATTTCCTTTCCTCATTGGATCATTGTTGTGTTATTGAACATAAACCAAATATCCAATGTTTGTTGCAAGCTAACACATTGGGAATGAATGTTATAGTACACAACTGAATTTACCTAAAATCCACATACATGGAAAATTCAAGAAATTATGTTTAAACGATTTCAAAAGAAAAGTTTCAATAGTGTGAAAACACTGTGGTATTTGTCTATCTTCACTGTTGAGTACTGAAAAAATAATTTTAATGGATATAATGTATTTTCTATAGGTGTTCCACAGAGTTCTGAAGGAATTGCTACACATACTGAAGGAACATTCTGAAGGAACTGCCACACATTTTTTCTAGTAACCAACAGCTATCTTTGATGTACCTATATTAATTTGAACCAGAAATGGAGAACCAGTCACCAGAAATAATAGTACAAATTTCAATTCACTGTGTAAGTCAACCACTGCTACATTCTTTTATCCTTTGCTCTTTTCTGTAATTTCTACCAGACTCTTCATTATTTTTTAGAATAACGGTTTTTCTTTGCCTGGCTGCCTGGGAGACTATTCACACATAAAAAAGATTATTCATTATTCCCTGCTAGTTCTGCTGCTAAAAAACTTCCAGACAAGAAACAGAATAATAATAGGACAATCTTCAAACCACAAATTCCAGATAATAAGAACAAACATTCTGGTAATAGTCCACAGTTGACTATTTATTTATTTCTACAAACTGTGATTCACGAAACATAAAATAGCAGGACTAGTCAGTTTAAAATAATTACTAGAAATGTTGTGTGGTCCACAAACTAAGATCTCCACTTGTATTTATATGGGGCAACATTAATATAAGCCATATACTGACAGGTCAAGAATCTTTCATGAGACCTTCTGTATGGTGGATAAAACAGCTTGCCTATATGATTTTACCTTTCCCCAGTAGTCTTCTCAAAAAGTAAAGAAAAATGCAGATTAATTACATATAATGTAGTGCTTCTGTATCCTTCCAATTTGGTGTCAATATTTCAGATGTCAAGGAAATAAATAAGAATCATGCAAACAGCTCTGTTTACCAGTTTTTGGGATGGAGTTAATTCTCCTTACGAAACTTGGACATCAGCTTTGAAAACTCAGCTGTGTTTGCCAGGGCAAATTTGACAAAATACAAGATCCAGAGCCAGAAAGCAGGTCCCTAATGTAGATGATTATGGCCATATTGCACTGCTGCTTGAAGGCTACCTCTTGCAAGGTATAAATACGCCAGATGATGCCACAAGACCACCCCGTGAAAAAAAGGGTGTTCATCAGGGGAAGCCTACAGTCTGCAATCAAAATGCAAATTTCCACTCTGCTACTTTTGCAAAGGATTACTCTTTTCACTAATAACTATAGTGCAAAGCTCAGTGGTGTTATGTCCTTGGTTCAGGAGAGTTCAGAGAGACAGCTCTCACTGCCACTGAAAGACTGTACAGCAGTGGCCAAAGCAGAAATGCTTAAAAATACCAGGATTTCTGGAATGGCAAAGGTGAATTCTTCAAAAATTCCTTTTTAAAAATCAGATTTGTGTGAGATGGGAACCTGAGCATTCCAGTATCTTTCAAGACACCAAAAAATTAATCATTTAACTCCATCATAAGTTCCTATATTTTCAAATATAAAGAAGGTAAAACACACAAAGAAAAATCAGTGGTGTCACATCTCAAGACCCAAAATGACTTGTAACTTTAAAACTGTAGAGTCAAATTCTGATCTTCATTATTGTGGTATGACTGAAGTAGATCCATTTACTCAGTGAGCTTTCCATATTTACAGTGATATGGATCAGAACATTTGATCCAGAGCATTTCATACTAAATGTAACTCCAAAGCCATATTTATTCTTCCTTTCCTTTCCCTTTAGCTTTCTTACATCAGGAAACTTATGAAAAAAAAAATCAGAATATCTCTGCTGGAAATTAAAAGGATTCACTGAAGCTAAGTACTTGTAAACTGGATGTTAGATCACACTTCTACATTGCCAGATCAGGAGAGAGTATCGAACATCAAATACATGAGGGGAGCTTCATATGTTTTTTGTTTATTTGGAGAGAAAGAAAATACATGTAAAAATTTACTTCCAGTCTTAGTTAGCATTTCCAAGCCTAAATTTCATCTACAGACAATGATATATTTGTTTCAAAGGCTATGACAATGCTTTCTATTCTATTAATTCAGAACCCTATATTGTAAAAATAGAATGCCATTAGAGATTTGGAAAGTCTGTAGAAATCTAGATTATTATCATATAATCACAGTTGAAAATATCATAGCTTTCATTCACTCCACAATATCTAAACCAAAACAGAATCTGTGATATATCATTTTCAATAATACTGATACAACACATATGGATCAAATTCTGCTGCCTTTATTTTGCATTACACCTAACAATTATTACCATTGCTCAGTGTGGTATCATCTGGAGTTAAGCAGAATCTGGTGAAAACAGCAGATTCATTTCTGACATGCCCTAATGTCACAAAAATAAACATCATTATTCAAGTTCAGAGGACTTGCTTCCTTCATGAAGACTTCCTGACATTTGAGCTGGAATCTATCACACAACATGGCTCTGGCTTTTTCTTAGTGGAAACTGTCCATGGAGGAGGTTCCCAGGTACCATAACAATACAAGTTATGATAGCAGAGAAAGGAGGGGCTGAGAAACTGTAAAAGAGGGCAGAAACTAAAGTCTGTTGGACACACAGCCTGTACTCATGACTTATTCACTGCATGACATCAAGCCTTCTCCTCTTAAGGAGACCCCAGTTTTCAGTAAAAATGCTTAGCAATTCCACATCTCCCTGTGGAAACACTTCTTGTGGATGATCACACAATCTTAGGTAAAAGAATAGACATTACAAGAAAGGGACAAGTTGTAACATATGCAAGAAAATGTGTATTGGAATGGTCATGTCTAGTTCATTATGTTTGGATTTATTGAACTGTAGACAGGAATTAAATGAGTAGTACTTAATCATATCTGTTTAGTTTATAAAATGTGTATCCTGTCTGTACTGAGACCATGGTGAATTTAGTACTTTAGTAAAAGGCAATAAAATTTCTTGTTTCTGCTTCAGTGGGCACCGTGAAATTTCTGCATTGTGACAAAGCCTGTCTGACCCGGCAAAGGCAAACTGCACAGAACCCAAAAAAGATGAATCAACAGTTCATCTAATGGCAGCAATATCATATTTGGAAATATACGAGCTGCTATTATTTTGAATAAATTAGTAAAATATATACATATTATTGTTCTAGCTACAATAACTTTTAAAGGTTATCTTTATTTCAGTGACTTTTCAATATTGAAAATGTTTTGATCTACAAAATGCTTTTTACAAAGTTTTACTCATCAGATCAATTTAGTGGTGGTATTACTGTCAGAGTGAGATTTGTAAATGTTAGGCCATTAACACACACTGAAAATAGAGCTGTACTGTTTTACCTAAGTAGAATGTTCTGTCCCGTATCACCCTAAGTGGCTAATGTGTATGTGTCAATAAATTGACACTTAAGCACATGAAAAACCTGATTTTCTGTTTCTTAG